AGGTGAACAACTTGTGTTTCGCGCGCTCATATGACCTTAGCAGTTGCGAGCGCCGTAAAACCTTATACTATACACATACATACAGAGCTCAACACCAGAGGACCCAGCACACGACAACATTTTTAAAACAAACCCAGAAACCTTAAACAAATTTCAAAACAACGAAAAACTCATCAAACCCTTCGTCCTCAGAATCCTTGAGGACCTCTAAAACATACACTTTTCCAAACAAGACATCCAACTTTTCTTTTCCCCGACCTTCCTCCGTGGCACCTCACCAAGGCAAAAGTAGACTAACCGCTGACCACACACGACAAAGCAAGACCAAACACCAAAACATTTAAAGCAGAATACAAAAAACTTATAGAAAAATACCCCGGTGCGGAGCTTATCTTCACAGATGGCTCCCAAAAAGACAATGATGTGGGCGCCTTAGCCCGATCTCCAAACAGTACACACCAGATGGAGACTCCATCCTGAAGCCTCCATTTTCTCTGCGGAGGCCACTGCCATTGACGTGGCACTTGACTCCGTAAAAAATTCTCCTAACAAATCTTTCCTTATCCTTTCTGACTTTGTCAACACACTCCTACACCCAAGAATAGTTAGGCTACAACAAAGGATACACGCCTTGACTGAAACAGGGAAAGGTATCGTGTTCGCATGGATACCTAGCCATGTGAGCGAGCATCCGAGGAAACGAGCAGGTAGATGACCTGGCGAAGAAATCCTTATCCATTCTGTTGGGATCAACGATGAACACTCTTCCACAGACTGACTTCAAAAATAAAGCCAAAAAGTACACCTCCAGTCTGTGGGAGAACAATTGAAAAAAACAAAAAACAAATAACAAATTCCAGGGAGGTGAAAATCCGTTCTGTGTCGGATGCAACACATATTTTATTATTAGACACATTTAACCGAATGACTTTGGAGAGATCCGAAGGAAATATTATAAATGCAAGAAATTCCGTCGTTGTACCCAACAGAATTTCGAATTTTATGAAGGCCATTGGCCTTTATGGAAAGTTATAAAATAGATTTTTTCAAATTCAAATTTAAATCTTAAGTCTATCTACACTCAATTTTAAGCGATTTTTAGCGTTTTAACCATTTTGAATAGAAATATTGACCAGTATCAGGCCGAGAAATGAACTGTTGAGGAAAAACAAACTTGTTTCGCGCACTCATATGACCTTATGCAGTTGCGAGCGCCGTAAAACCCCATACTATAATAATAATAATAATAATAATAGTAATAATAATAATAATAATAATAATAATAATAATAATAATAATAATAGACACATATTATAATGATACTGAAAGGCAGTCTGACTTTTAAATGTAATATTTAATTATAATAATAATGATAATAGATAGTATTTTTGTATAGCGCAAATCACCGCTCAACAGCAAGCTCTCTGCGCTTCACATTCTATATACTATTTTCCCAGCAGACCTGAAGGTGGCGTCGGTAGCATAGACTCGTAATCGTGAGATTGCGGGTTCGGGGGTTCAAGCCTCAGCTCGGTCCGGCGTTGTGTCCTTGGGAAAGGCACTTTACACGAACTTCCCCCTTGGCATGTCCTATCGGAGACGGACGTTAAACTAGGAGGTCCCGCACCTTAATAACCTAATAGTGTTGATAGAGGCGTTAAACCCATACCATTTCACCTTTTTTTTCACCAGCAGACCTGAGAGCATTCTGAAACAACCTCAACTTCCTTGGAAGCCTACTTACAGTGCAAGTGTGTGTGTGTGTGTGTGTGTGTGTGTGTGTGTGAGAGAGAGAGAGAGAGAGACAGACAGACAGACAGACAGACAGACAGACAGACAGACAGACAGACAGACAGAGACAGAACGTTCCCACGCGCATTTTTTACATACATTAGACTACATGCAAATGTTTGATTGCAATGATCTCCCGGCCCCGATTTTAAAAAAAGCTAGTAAAAGACTTAAAAGAGTCGAGGGTAAAACATCAACTTACTTCTCATCAAATTCCGTGCAATGACTTGCCAAGGCTAAATATGAAATATATAGTAGTTGTAGCCTATAGTTTCTCACAGCGAAAAAGGTTTACAATGTACTTTTTTTTTAGATAGATCTAATTCACACTCCAAAAAACGTGATCAACTGGAAGCTTCTTTTGGCATTGATCGTTGGTTTACTGTGATAAGAAGTCTGTTGAATATAATTTCAGCATAGACCAAGGAGGTTATACAGACCCAGATAGCGACTCGCACTGCAAAGCTGAGGGAACAAGGACAAAATACGTACAGATAACTCAGCAATAGCGGGGCGGGTGGGAAAAGGGCAAAGGTGAATATATGACTCAGCAACAAGCAAGGGGAGAGACTAGGCTATATAAAGGAAACAGTCGTTGAAATTACGTCTTTGGTCTTTAAGAGTTGGAGAGAACTGAACTCTACCTTGCAAAGATTTTACTTCTCATGGTGATACTTGAGGTCCGAATTAAAATTTACCAGCAGTCTCTTCCACATGTATTACATAGAGTACTCATGTTATGGTTTCCCTTTGGTCTTCTAAATTAGATCTATAGCAAATTACTCCAAGTGATTTCCAAAGTCACCATGCCACCCACTGACAGTGACAGTTACATCTCGTAGACAATTTCGAATCCAATGCAATATATTCTTAACACAAGAAGAAGAAGAAGAAGAAGCCCAACAACCACAATAACAACAACAAATCTACGGTACCATGATTTAATAATAAGTGACAGCTAGAGCACATACAATGTACCTTCCTTCAACACCAGATTCAAAATAACTGCTACTTGATGTAGATCTATTTAGATTCAATATTTTTTGTTCGTTTTTTACGGGTTTATTTAAAACTCGAAAAACTGAAAAACAAAAGTCATTCTCATTGTTTCATGGTAGGGTTTTCTCGGCTGTTTTGGTCTGTCCGGAAGAGCAGGTAACGTGTAGGCTCCAGAAACCATTCTCCCCCCCCCCCCCACCCCCCACCCCCACGTCTCTTCATTGTTTATAAACATGTGTAGATCTAGATATCTGGGCCTATTTAAAAAATGTATAAATTTTTTTTAAACTTTCTGTTGTTCATCTTTTCTATGTTTGCACGGACGGCACAACGATGAAGAGAATTTTACCACACACAATGACTGGTGAACGTATACCTATTATTTGTTTCGTTGTTTTGCCTCTGATATAAATTATAAAGGCCCTAGTGGGCCCTATCAAGTTCCCAGGGATTATAGATCTAGGTTAGGGGCCTATCTATGTCAGTTTTGACGTGCAGGTGAAGAAAGTTGAAGGAATTTTTTTTAATCATTCTAAACGGGAAAGGGGAAAGTCTTCATTTAAATCGCACTGCCTTTCTGTTGCACGCTCTATTCATGCAATGCAAATACATTACAGAAATACACATCAAGCAGACATATATAATAATAATATACGTATGACATAAAAGCTACATGCCAGCTTTCACTTTTGCCATGAAATCAAATTAACTGTCTGCTGAAACACTGGTTGGTAACCTTCCTGTCATGAAAGTAGGCCTGAAGAACAAGATGAAGATGGTCCCCTGGAAATTGCCTGACTACGTTCTTTCCACTGTTGATTACCTCAGCAATTCTATAACTAGAAACGGGAAAACCGACTAGCAAGGATAAACCGTGTGAAGTTCACCCACTTTTGGCACCTTGCCCTTGACTCCAAGATCAACCGCGTCTTTTCCTAGTCTAGGCAGGTATCATCACTGATCTCAGCGAGTCAGAAGAACAAACGAAGGAACACTACTTCTTTATAGAAATGAATTTCCATTCGTCATTCCATTGCTTTTTTAAAAAATAGGCCTAGGCACACTGTGACTAGTACTTTAGCTAGTTAAGAGATCATTGTGAATGCATTACAATGGGTATCACTTGGAAGGAATTCAGGCCGTTTCCAATCGCTAAATTTCCACGCCAGTTGTTCGTATGCTGTTATTTTCCATCGTCAAAAGCCACCGATTTAGCTCAATCCTCCAACCCTCGGTCTTTCCGTTCTCTTCAGACCTTGGAGAAAAATAGAAGTGCAAAACTTAATACACGTTCTTTTGGTGATTGGGCATACATGGGTAAGCATGAAACGGGCAAATTATAAAGTAGTTTTAACGTTTTGTCTGAAACAGAGACCCGACTTGACTGTTAAGGATGTTGTTTTAGTAAAGCTATGAATTTATTAAATGTAGTTAGCCTATTTTAACTCGTACTATAATATAGGCCTACACAACTTAGAAACACGGTTGTTTTTGAGGGGGGGGGGGGGGGGTTTGCAACCGCTGCAAACTGGCAGCTATCGGTAAGTGCTCAGTTTGACCCCTCTGTCCTGAATTTGTTCAACACTGTTCTTCCCCTTCTAAATCGTGTCCTGCGGCACAAGTGACAGCCTGGGATGCCGTGACTTCTGTGTGTATGTAACATTAGTAATTATATGCCATGTATGCAATGGTAATTGGCCTTGTACGGTTGTTGCCCTCTCAACCATGACGCAGATGTTTTATAAATGTTAGAATAATTTCAGCTGTGTCTCTTTTCGATTTGGACTTCGGAGAGAGCCGCTAAGTACTTGTGTGTGTTACAATGTAACATTGAATGTTACATCATTTATTTTACTTTTTTGACAGTATTATAATATTTTAGCCTGCTGGATCTAGATCTAGATCTATAGCGATATAAGTCACTACAAATGTTTTGGGCAACTCATTTAAATTTAAATAATACACTGTTAATACCTTTTGAAATCTGAATGTAAATTTTTACTTTCACTCCCGCACACAGTACACAGTCACTGCTTCGTGGGTCAAACTGCAGGTTGACCTTCTGTTTACAGATCTCACATAAAGCCACTAAAACTGTCGAAAATCAATTATTTTCAGGAAAATTTAGGTAAATTTTTACTTTCACTCCCGCACACAGATGCACTGTTTCAAGGGTCAAACTGCTGTAACTGTTTGCTGCAGATCACACATAAAGCCACTAAAACTGTCGCAAATCAATTATTTTCAAGACAATTTCAAATCTAACTGTAAAATATCAAATTATGGGTGTAAAAACAGTAACCCCCCAGATTTTCTTTTACCCCAGTGGGGCAGGCCCCCCTGGAACCCCCGGATTGGTCCAAAGCATGTCTATCTCGGTGAAAAACAATCAAATATTTCAAAAATCTATTAATTTGCGACGGAAATGAAGTTGATATTCGTGTTCAGCGCATCAATATTTAGTAGAAAATAGACAACTGGTAGCTGAGTGTGAGACGGGAGGGAAAGTAAAAAAATACCAAAATTTCAAATCTAAAGTCTCTAAAATATCAAATTATGGGTTAAAACAGGGGGGCATGCCCTTCTGCAACCCCCCAGATTTCCTTTTACCTCGGGGGCAGGCCCCCCTGGATTGGTCCAAAGCACCGGGGGGGAACTTCCGGGGAGTTGTGACTCGCGGACAGTCCTGCTGTACTGTGTCGTGACGCAGCGAACCTTCGTGGCTGTGGACTCACAAAATTCAGAAGATTCTTTGGTTATTTGCAGTGAGAGGCTTGCACCAAAAGTGCAAGATCGTTTGGGTTTTTTTCATAGTTCGGTTGTAAAAAACAAAAAGCTCTATTCAGTGCACTTAAATTAATATTGGATCGGCTATTCTTACGATGTTAAGGCCTGTTTATTTTTAATATATATGCACGAGCCAAGCGCTTCATCGTCACACGCAAAAGACGTCAGTTCGATTCCCGTATGGGGAGAAATTTTTACTGAGAGTCTCTGTCTTTCTGCTTGGGCGTTGTTCCCTCTCAGCCCAGGTGGGTCCTGACATTGGGTTGAAGTAGGCCTAGCCCGTCTCCTAAATGTTCTGTATTATGTAACTGTGAGTGTAACACATTTACAAAATAGATTATTACCCTAGAATGGAAAACTGCAGGGGTCGTTCTGATGATTGGCTTTTGTATCGTATGTATGTATGTAACCTAAGTCTACTTATTCTTTATTACTACCAGAAACCTAGGTCTCTGTTACTACACTCCCTCTCACTTATCCACTCGCTTAGCTGATCAACGGCGGGAAGTTGAAAATAACTTCAACTCTCTACGTCTTGCACCAAAACAAGCCCAGCCTATCCCTTCCTCCACGGTTCAAAGTTCACACAGAGAGTGGTCCTGCTGTTTGAACACAGCGAGCGGTCCTGCTGCCTGCCACTCGCTGCTACAGCGAGAAAGCACAAGTCAGCAGGTCAGGTTTTGAGCTGGTCGTGGGACAATTCACTAGGGCTAGCGCAAAGCAGTAGGCTACTGTGTGAATCATGGGACTTGTGGCTGCGGACAGGATTTGAGACTTGACAGCTGTCCTCTGCTTGCGCAAGCCTTCGATTAATCGAGCAGACTACAGCACCACGCTGCGCAGTGACACTGTGGGCGGGATCTCTCACTCTCCCCCTCTCTCTTTTTCTGACATAAGTGGCTTCGTGGATTGCAAGCAGGATGGGGATGATGAGGGGGTCTGACATGAGTGGCTTCGCAAATTGCTAGTTGCTGTGGACTTGGAAGTTTAGACTAGACCAAGGAGGTTACAGTTTGCGCTAGACTCAACTTATCATGCTGGTGATTTGATTTGATGATTTGACCTAGGGATTTGAGGCTTGTGACTTGAACTAGGGGCTTGCGAGCACGAGCGGGTTTGCTATCGGGGTACAGCCCTTGTAGATTTTACCTCCTCTGTGTGAACTCTAGCAGTGTAGATAGTCAAGGTGGTGTGGGTATGAAATCTTACGAGTGCCTGTGAAAGTGCTCGAGTGGCGCTCCAGCATGGAAACTTTCATGAGTAGCCAAAGGCAAAAGATGCTTGCCACCCTGATTGTGTACGGCCAGCCAAGGAAGAAGTTCCTCAAATCGTTGTTACATGCATGGGAGGGGTGGCATTGGTTGACTGTACTTGTTTCACCGATGGATGGGGCTCAGGGTGGAAACAAAGGAGATGTTCAAATGTTGCTTGTTTTTGATGGGTCAAACAGTTGTCCTATGAAATGCAAGTGCTGGCTGCAGTGAATAAAAAGGACATGTGCAGTTATCAGAGGATAGCTTTTGAGGAGTGTGAAGTTTTGACCATTGCTTGCTGGCTGGACAGGCGACCCTTGATCCTACCAGCTGGGCCTCCACCTCCTCCTTCCTATATTCCCTTGTCCAGGACAGAATTTTTTTCTGGCTCCCTTGCGATTCCGCCTTAGACAGGTTCAGCTGTACCTTCGACTATTCCTCCTATCTGGTGATGTGGAATACAAACTTTGGTCTGATACAAGATGTTTCTCTTTTATCTACAGGTCTTGAGGTAAAAAACAAAATGTCTTCTGAGGCTGAGGTTAAGCGTTTGTGGAGGTCTGCAGATGCTGTATGCTTTGATGTAGACTCCACTGTGTGCTGTGATGAAGGCTTGGATGAGCTTGCTAACTTTTGTGGGGTAGGATCTCAAGTGGCTGAATGGTAAGTGAAAAACGCACCATCGTTTCTTGGTCCGTTTAAAAAGTACAATCTGGAAGCTAATCATTAATAGAATCTAGATTGCATATAGTGAAATAGGCGGGATATGGACATTTTTTCATTGTGTATGAATTTCGCTGTGTGTGTGTTTTAAATACTTGTAAAGAATATACATCATGTATATGTATAAGGAAAAAAATGGAGATCTGAAATTTTGTTTTCTATTTACACGTTTCGTCATGTGAGTGTTTGCTATGTGCCTGCTAGACTGTATTTGTAGGCAGTATATAAAAATACTCAGGAGATTGATCCTTCCAAGGGTGCTGCTTCTGTCTCTTCTGTGGACCCTGCCTGTACCTCTCCTGTATCCTCTTCACTGCTGACCTGTTTCTCAATTTCAATCTGAGAGAGATGAGACATCTGTTCCTCTTCATCTCTTTGAGCCCACAGTACTACTTGGTCTTATGTGATAATGATTGATTCCTTATGCAGTTGCGAGTGCCGTAAAACTCAAACTAAACTAAATGATTGATTCCTGTTTCAGGACCAAGAAAGCCATGGGCGGTGGTGTCTCCTTCAGAGAAGCCTTGCAACAACGACTCAACATTGTGAAACCATCACAACAGCATCTGTCAGACTTTATAGCTTCACATCCCCCTAAACTTAGCCCAAGAATCACGTAAGCTCTTTTTTTTTTAAAACACTTACATACACTGGTTTGGGGGGGGGGGGGTCCATTCTCATAGAAGAAGCACAAAGCCCCAACGAATGTCCTATATCTGTCTTACTATTCGGCGTCGGTGGCCTAGTGGTTAGGCTCTCGGACTCGCAACCGTAAGGTCGTGGGTTCGAATCCCGTCAAGGGCCCGACGTTGTGTCCTTGGGAAAGGCACTTTACACGAATTTTCCTCACTTCACCCAGGTGGGAATGGGTACCCGGCTATAGACAGCGAAAGATCTTGTCAGTTTGTTAGTGTTTGAGCGCTTAATCGGCTGCTCGCATTGTATGCTTCCCGGGAAGCTGAGAATGTTTCGGAGTGTTCTATGGTCTGCTGGGGTAATAATATAGTGTAAAGCGCATAGAGCCTGCTGTTGAGCGGGGATATGCGCTATACAAATGCTATCTATTATTATTATTATTATTATTATTCATGTGTATCATAGTGTGATTCTTTCTCTTTTTAAATGGCTACCATCTTTATACCATATATGGCAACATGTGAATGGAAAAAAATAAAAGACTAATGACAAAGCATGCCTTCAAAGCAATTTGACACGATGAAATGTCACTTATCATTTCAAACTTATTACTGTTGTAGTGTGCACTTTCTGTCTTTTATTTAAATCTTGAAAAGAAAAATAACGCATTGTCTTCATGCTTTGGTAACAACAGCGTGACATGTCACCATAATCCATCAATAGACATGGCTCGAGAATTAAGTGGGCCTACTATTGTACACTAGTGTGGGTGGTTGGAGGACGCCACAGGTTGGTCCTATTTCTTCTCATTCCCCCTGTTGTTTCTGTCTGTCTGTCTGTCTTACTTTAACCCTGCACCAAATGATTGTTAATGTGTCAACATGCTTCTTTTTAATTAAACAAACAAACAAAAAGAGCACATTGGTGATGATACAGTTGGACATGATGTTTATGTATTGTAATAACTCAGTTTCATATATATACTTTTTTGTGCGGACACATCAAACAACATAAGTTTTGTCTAATTTTATGAAAGATATACGTGTATTATTTGTCAGATGCTGTGTGGAAAGGAAAGGGCCTGGGGAAAGGGGAGAGTTGAATTGTGCTAACAGATCAATGTTTTCCCAAGTGCTTGAAACAGCATTGTAATTGGAGCTTTTTCTATAGCTTGCATTCAGGCTTATTGTTGTATGTAATATTGAGCTGTCTGTGCCTATGCACGCGAGTATTTTGAAGTAATTCTTTTTTATATATATGAAATTGAAACTGCCCTGTTATTACTGTTAACTAACAATTCTTTTGTATATGAAATTGAAACTGCACTGTTAACAAATTGAAAGTGTGTGTCATATTACAGGGACTGTTTGTTTGTTTTTTTCTCCAGAGAACTTATTTCCAAGTTGCAGCAGTCAAACAAGAAAGTTTTTCTAGTTTCTGGTGGCTTTCGTGACATCATCACACCAGTTGCGAACTTGCTCAGTATACCCCTGGATTGTGTTTATGCAAACAGACTTATTTTCAATGAAGGTATTGATTTCTCATTATTCTTTATTTGATTAAAGTATTATCTTACATCAGTAGTTACATCCTTACTCAGTTTATTTTTAAAGAAACAATAAAGTTCAAGATTTTATCTTTTTTCTTTTCATGGCAGCAATGGTCTTGTGAAGTGAGGTACACATTTTTCTATGTTGTGAAAAGGTACATGTTATATTCTCCATTTCTTGCAGATATTGTGTAGGTGATTGACTGGTGATCTGGTGTGGTTTGCTTCTTCTTTCCTAGCGAACATCAGTTGTCCTTATTCCCCTCCATTTTTTTGTGTGTTTGTTACTCTTTTGTATCACCTCTACTCTTTGGCTCATATATGACCTAATTGTGTTGCAAGTGTTATAAAACTCTTACTGAAATTAAAAGCAGATATTATCAGTTCAAATTGTATGTATTGAAGCTGTACATTTCGCTTTTTGTCATGCTTTTCTAGCTCTTTTTCTTTTTTTCTATGTGGTGTCTTTTGTGAGTAAATTACTTTCATCTTCTATATATTTTCAATACTAGATATTTTTTCTACCACTGGAGTCGTTTGCTGTCTGTTGAGGTTTCTTTTTAAAAGCTGAGGTGATACTGCATGCAGTGCAAAAATTAGAATTGTCTTTAATTTCCCTTTTGAGGAGGAGCGAGGGGAGGGGTCATTATAATCATAGCCTCTCTGTCTTTCTTTTTCTATGTGTGAACAGATGGGAGCTATGCAGGGTTTGACCTGGATGAGCCTACATCTGAATCTGGCGGAAAACCACGTGTAGTCGGTGTGATCAAAAGGAAGTATGATCTGAACACAATGATCATGATCGGTGACGGGGCGACAGATATGGAAGCTGTTCCTCCAGCCGTGAGTTGACTTTCTATTAAAACTTCTTGTCTTTTCAAAAGTTTTAGGGAAAAATTCGAAAATGTTCAGTCTGCTTTAGAGCATTCTTTTTATTGTCCTGTCAACATTGCCCTTAACTCTTTATGTATTTCTTTTCTTGCTTAAATTTGAACTGCCTCAAAATAGTGGAGAACTTGGACACATTATCATAGTTGTCTTTTTTTTTCTTGTGCTCTGAGTGAAGGTATCCCTTGAAAAAAGGGTTGAAAGGAGCATTTGAAGTTAACATTAGACATACAGCTTAAATTGTGTTTCAAAAGAATTAAGTTGAAATACTGGATATAGGTATTATATGTTCATGTGTGTGTCATTTTTTATTTTAATGAAGCAAGCAGTGTGGTAAATAATAAAAAAGGGAAGCTACCTACTCAAGTTGAAAATATGTTCGCCCAAAACTATTGATGGCTTGGTTTATGCAAGTTTGATAGTTTGTTATATTAACAGCTTTGTTGGAACAGACAAGATTAATTTTGTTCTTCCTACTTCAAGCTTTTAGTTTAGTAAACAAAACTAAACCTGTTTTCTCAAAACTTCGCCTTCAGACCCCTGTGCACTTTTAAATGCCATGACTTTTCACAGAATGTTCCAATTGCATTCAAATAAAGTTTAAAATGCTCAGGAAAGATGTGTCTTTCAAAACATGCAAAAAAGTCCATTTTGAAAATTTGCACCATGTGAAGGGTTTTGTCGGAGCCACACACATTTTCACCTCAACTATGTAGACCCAAAATGACCTGTTTGTTTACACAAGGTTGTAAGTGTGTTGGGGTTTGGTTTTTTAGAGGATGCCATTGGTAAATCCCTTTTTTTTCCCTTTTGTTTTTTTTTTTGTTTTTTTCCTCTTCAACACTGAATGGTATACAGCCGAACCTGTCCAAGACAACAACCCATTGTCAAAGAGAAAAGTGGTCATCTTGGAAAAGGGGTCTTCTTGGACAGTGTTATTATGAATTGTAATATAAAACAAAAATCCTGGGGGGATGTGGAAACTGGTAATTTGCTCAGGTGATTGTCTTGGACAGGTGGTGGTCTTTAGAAACAGGTTCGACTGTATATATTTTGGTATGCTTCTTTGTTTCTCAAACAAACTCAAAGTTATTGGGGGTTTTTTCTTATTTCTGTGACAGGATGCCTTCATTGGCTATGGAGGCAATGTGATACGTGAAAAAGTCCGAGACAACTCTCACTGGTTTGTGACCGACTTTCAGCAACTCATTGATGAACTGAGCTGAAGACTTGAATACCTCTTACTGTTGTATTTGTTAAAACACTATAGTCTAAGACTATCTACTCCTAGATATTGTCAATTATTAATTCATACATTGTGAAAGTAAATTATAATTACCTCCATTTTGTTACTGGTGTATTGTATTCACCTTTAAAATGTTTCTGTTACTTCCCAACTAGTAAAGTCAAGTTTATTTTTCTACCTTTGCGCATAAATGCATCAGGGCTTCAAGGAGGAAACAAAGACCATGATTATTATAAGATAGACATCGTTTTACACACATTGCTTCTGCTTTTCTATTCCTAGGCAGGGGAAAAACGGACCATTTTTCATCAAAAGAGTTAATGGTCTTACATTATAGTGTGTTTTGTGCTGCAGAATCTGATTATTCTGAAGATGTCAGGATTTCAGAATCTCTTGATATTATACTTACTTTTTGTAATATACACATCTTTCAGACATTGAAATATCATTACAAAATATTATAATAGTTTTGAAGAATTTATTAGCTTTATTCTTTCTTTCAAAGCTCTCTCCCATTTTACATTTGAAATAAGCTTCAAGTTCAGAAAATTACATAATTACAGGATGAACTATAGCTCTTGTACACCCAGTGTTTTGAATATTTTAAGCCATGCTTCTTTTCAGTTGTAAATTCGTCCCACAAGAAACAAGTGAGACTTATAATTGGGGGTTTTTTGGCAACAGACAATGTATAAATGACTGGCATACTTTGTCACACTATCTTTGCCACTGGGAACTGGTGACTGATTTCTTGATTATATTATAAAAGAGGAAGAACAACCATTATATCACCCATGTTTTAAGAAAAAAAACTCCATTGGCTCACAACAACAGCTAGAATTACTTACAATATTGTCTTTTGCCATAAATGTGTTTACAATAAAGCCCACATGCATTTAAACAACCTCATTCAAATGTATTTTCCTCCAAGATCTCTGAGATCAGAAGATCAGTCTCTATTGTGATGAGAGCACCTAGGACAGGAGGTGAAAAAGTCGCCGGGAGGCCCTTTTCTCATCTATCTCCATCTGTCTGGGACTTTCTCTCTCTCTCCACAACATTGGAGGGATACAAAGTCGGAGAAAAAATTTAAAATTCATTTAACAACATACTTCATTTTATGCCCTCTAAATAGTTTGTCTTTCTTATTCATAGTACTCTGTTTATAATGTGATATGCATATCGTTATCGATTATGCTGTGATAGTATGAATGTCTGCTCATGTGTTAGCCTTTATGTAAAGAACATGTATTATGTATGCATGTTCATGCACGTTTATTTTGTGTTTAAAAAGGTGTTGTAAAGGCCCTAGAGCTGTATTGTAGGGGAGTGGGAGCTACAGAAATGTATTATCTGCATCATTATTATTATTATTATTATTATTATTATTGATTATTCATTGGTCATTGTTCAGTTGTGTGACTCGCAAAATTCCATGGTTCATTGGTTTTGCTGATGGTGCTTTGTTGAGGTCTGAAAGTGTTAACATCAGCTGAACTTGCACAGGCACTTGCCAGGAGTAAGTACATTGAACATGAAGCTTTTTCCAAGTTGACGTTTTTGGGAACTGATATTAACTGGGTTTTACTGTCTGAGTATGTGACCAGATGAAGATCTGCTGCTGTTTCGATTTTGTAGAAGAACCAAGTGATAACAAAATATTTATAGACTGCACAAACTGTTCGAGGTCAACATTTCTGTAGTATAAAAAAGCCAGCTAGTGGAAGTATTATGATTCTCTGTCACCTCTGTGAATATCCTGTCATTTAAAGCGACAAAATAGCTGCCAAGGCCTGGTGTCTGCCAATACTATGACAGGTGGCCGTTGGACTGTATTTAAATGACACCTATTGAAGATTGCGCTGTAGAAACATGTTGCTTGCTCAGTTAAAAGTCTGAATGGAGCATTTTGGACCATGCGTTTCCCTGAGTTACAATTTTATGTCACCCACTGATACTACCTGTGCCTGTTCTCTGGGTTTTTTCCCTAGGGTAACTCCTGGAAAACCTTTGTTGTTATGTGATGGACCAGATTGCATATCTGTTTTGTTGTATGTTTTGGTCGTTTTGATTGAAAATATCGTATTATCGCACCTGAGATTATTTTGTTTGGTCTCGGCCGTGTTTTAGTAATTGTTGTGTTGTGAAATTAAGATTTTTATGACCTCTAAAGTATTTCAATTATGCTCCTTTTCAGAGTTGACAACAAATTTATGTTCACTGGAATATGTGCAAACTTGGAGAATCTCCTGCCTTCATTTTTTTAAAAGACAAAAAAAAACAATTTTTTATTCAAATGTGATTTTATTAGTTTTTAAAGCCTATTAATTCCTTGACTCTTTCAAAATTGTAGTTATGCACTGCAGGAGTTTCGAGCGCCATGAAACCTTACTAAAACAACACAAACTGCTGGAAAGAATAGCATTTACCCTTCAGGACCTGGTATGTGCAGTGCGAGGATATAAATAGTGTAAGAGTCAGAAAACAAGAAAGTGCCTTAACTTAGAGCTCATGAAGTGTGTATGCTTTCATCAAAGACTTCCTTCATGCATGTACAAGGTTAATTGCTTAGAATTTATTTTTGTACTGTGTTGTTGTCTCCAAAGTAGATGATTGAGATCTGGCCAAGATTTTTGTTTTAAAGAACAGAGACCATAAGTTGTTAATCCTGACTCAGCTTCTGATTCTAACTAGCAAATTTTTCTATCTTAGTGGTTTTGAGTAAAAATCACCTTCCCCATCCTCATGTGACTGATATTCATATTATGAAAGTGTAAGACAAGGCCTAAACCTTTCCGTTTCGATATAAATTATTGAAAAATGGATTTTTATTTCCTGGGCGTTTTTTACCATATTCAATTCATGACATCTAATTCACTGTATTCAAAGGACTAACACTTTAGGCTAAGCCAGATCTATTTAAAGATTCAAATGATAAAAGCTTTCTCTTTGCCTGCAAGTTGACTGTGGTGTATCAGAAAATTATAAATTTGTTGCAAACTATGCTTTTTTCCATTTCCTTTTTTTGTAACGTAAACTTCCGTTTCTAGTATGTTTTACTTTTTTTAAATTATAGTTCTTTATGAGTCAGCACCATAATAGCCATACTTTGCCAAAGGTCAGATGTGGACAAATGCACACAAAAAAAAAGTAAAAAGGAGGAAGATGTAGAACACGCACCTGCCTCAGTTTGAATGTACAAGTAGATCAAATCTAGGAAAATGTATGAATGTTTTTATTTTTGTTTAATGCAACATAAAATTGTCTTGTGAATTTAAGTGTAGATATGTTTTCTTTCCGTTAAAATTTAATGGTTTGTTGAATGTCTGTACTTTAAGACAAATCTTTAAAAATCCAAAATAGATCACAATGAAGTTTCAGTATATCTTTGTTTTCATTTGTGCCGTGCTTTTGAATTTTTGGCGTTTTGCGAAAAATTGCTTATTCTGAGGATATGTGAATGCAGTTTTGAATTTTTAAATTTTTTTTAAAGTATGGCGGATTTCATTTTATTTTAATCACTTATGGGGCAAAGACATGCAGGAACCTGGCCCAGAAATTGTTTAATAGTCAAAAATCGCTGCACCTGTGACCAGTTTCATTTGGTATTGCGCGGGGCGCAGGTCGAGAAATGTGAGCTACAGTACGTCAAATATTTTTAAATCAGCACGAGATAGTAGAAAGTTATATGAATTTGACTTTAAATTCGTTTTCAGCTTCAAATTTACCATGATACCACCATGCCCGTTTGATGTTATTCAAAAACAAATTCTGCCTGAAAGAAAAACTACATCCACTGCTGACAATCATGTAAACTAACCAGATAAAATGGCGGTGTCCACAGGTGTGACTGCTGCATGTGCGTTAAAAATAACTTACCACAGAGGCTCGAGGCAAGGCATGTTGCTTGGCTTACATCCATTGGCTCATGCATGTGTGGACTGTTTTAAGAGGTGGGCTTTGACCCTTCCTATCAGGGCCGACCCAGGCTGAAAGAGATACAACATTTCAGCAGATAGACTGAGATACTCTATAAAAATTCTTCCCACTCTGAAATCGAACTCGAGCCTCCTGCGCACAGCAGCAAAGCACCTGACCTCTACACTACAGAAGCCAGTGTAGTCCAAAGTGCCAGAATAAATTTTACGGTCAACACCTGGTTGGCTCTTTGATAATATTCCTCCAAAACGAGAAAGACATAGTGATAGAGAGAGAGAAGACTTTCAGCTCTAAATACATGTGCATGCACATGACCAACAAACAGACACTTTTCAAACACAGATCACCCCGCAGAATACATGTAATGTTCCTTGACACTGGACAGTCAGGGCTATACAACAGTGGAACCCCTTTCAACCGCCAGCCCCGCTGTTCTGCCAACTTCATGCTCATCCCTAGGGTGGCAGTAGTAATAACGAAATTGACTACTTATTTAAAAGAGAAATAATATGCTTTTACCCAATCCTTTTTTTTTTTTTTCCAGCCAGAAGCGACATGCACCATTCCACATCAATGCAAATTGGCTCTACATTTCTGACACTGAACTAATGAGCCCTTTTGTGACAGCCATTAGTGTCTTGCAATGAACTTCTGAGTAGCAGTCCGTGAGAAATGCGTTTAAAATGAAACATGCAATATTTTTCTTGGTAAACACAGACTTTCAAGTTCGAGTCAAGTCATACTGGTGATGGCTGAGGTGGAAAATAAGGGCTTTTTTCGTTGTTTTTTAAATGTAATAAAAGTGTTTAAGCCATATTTGACTCAATTTAGATCATTTAGGAGCCAGGCTTCAATTTCAAATCTGCTTTCAGGGCTAACCCAGGCAATGAGAGTTACTACAATGTCACAGCAGAAAGATCGAGATGCTCGATAGAAGTTCTTCCCATACGAGAAATGAACTTGGGTCTTCTGAATGAAGTGCCAAAGTGCCTAGCCTCTTTCCACAAACGCTCGTCTCGTGAGTTTGCATTTCCATGAGTAGTTTCAGTGAGCATAAGAAAAAGATGTGCCGTACTCTGAACAACAGAGAAAAGCTGTGTTGAAATTATTGTTTCTATCACAGTAAAGAACAAGAAATACTGAATTCTAAGAATAGATTATTGCTTTTACCAAAGTACAAAGCCAAAATCCCGTTTTTGAGTTGTCTTCAGAAATTCATCGACAGAAAAAGAGATCCAATGAATGACTACATTATGACCGAATTCTCAAAGTAATGGAGCTCTGCCTTACTAAGAAATTCTTCATGGAAAGCCAAACATTAAAATTTAAAATTAAATTTTGATTGCCACATTGTAGTCAAACCTGCGCTGACGGCCACCTCTATAAGACGGCCACCTGTACAAACGGCCACTTTCCATTTCCCCCCTTGCATTTTTTCTATATAATTTAACTGTGTAAAACGGGCACCTGTCCAACGCGGCCGCCGTCACATTTTAACACACAACCCTTATCACACTAAGCAATTACACCTGTCTTAGACGGCCACCTGAGTGACTCCATTATGTTTTGTCATAAATTGTGCATTGGCCCCTAGCGTTGTGGGCGAGCCGTCATAATTCAATCACATGTTGTGGTTGTTAGGTAGTCCCTCCAACAGATCATGTTGCGTAGGCCCCTCCCACTGTTGACCAATAGCTACCAATTTTCAGCTGCTGGTGAGGTAAGCGTGTGATCCCTCATAACCCATAAGCCCCGCCCAGAACTCATACACAAATCCTAAGTGAGATGAGTGGTCACTGTTTACCCAGTCTGTAACAAAGTAACAAAGGACGTCAACATTAATTTGTGACAGAAGCGTCGCTCGTTCTCCGAGTGGTGGCGACCCATGTTTTTGTTTTAACTTGGCAGTCGGTCTTCCTCATCTGATACATTTTGTTTTATTGTCACCCTTGTGCAAAATCAGCAACAAAATAAAAATTACAAACAAAAAGCAAACCACCACCACCAACAACAACAACAAAAACAACAACAATGCGGCTACTTTCGATTGGGACCTCAGATGGGAATTGTTTGTTTTCTTCATCTTGATCAGTCCTGCCTAAGACGGCCACCTGTCTTTTACGGCCACTTTTCTCCTTGACAATGGGTGGCCGTCTTACACAGGTTTGACTGTATTATAAAATCATTCGTCTAAATTATTATTGTTTCTTTGTGGCATGCGATAAATGCAGAAAACACTGGTAAAAATAAAAAATGTTCTCCTCATTTTACCTCGTAGAACTTGTGCATAAGAAAAAGAAAAGTTTTTTTCATTAATGTCATAAATCAAAAGCACAGATACTTCTTTTTTGATTAAATTGCAACAAATATTGATTCACTGAACAACAGATCTCAAAATAAACCAAAGAATTTATTTCAAGTATAAAACAATAATAATACGGCAACATTTCCGGTACCACTCACATTATACAACATTTTTCAAGACAAAACCCTAGCCCTAGAAACAAAGTAGGCCTACATCTAGTAGACTTGACTTGATATAAATGAAATGAAAATACAACTAGAATATTAATGATCTTGGCTACAATGACTTTTAACACACAAATTATAAAAGATAATTTTACCACACAGGAATCTGTTCAAAATAACTTTAAAAGAGACCAGACTTTGGCATTTACTTTGAAAACAAAATTGACAGTAGACATAATCACTTAACACAGAAAACTTTATGCAATCAGAAACAAGGCAACTGAAATTAAAGAATGGTTTTAGTTTTAGTTTTAGGCCAGCGTATAATAACAAGACACCAGTACTGATCAATTTTATCTTTCCTCTGCTGTAGATCTATCACAAGATCTACGAATGGCATCAAACTGAGCGATGAAGAAAACACAAACTATCCTCAGGTAAGTGAGTCGACTGCCAAATTAAATTTCACAGAAATTGCCAGGTTCGAATAATTGATTTATGAACATAATATATATTATTAAAAACTAAAATGCAATTGTAGGTGTTTTATGCCCCCATCAACACAGCTTAGATCATTTAGGAGGTGGGCTGCTTTGACCCTGCCAACCTGGGCTGAGACAGACATACAACGTCCCAGTTGAAAGATGAAATTCAATTTTAAAAACCCTCCCCTCATGGGAATCAAAATCATGTCCTTTGCATACAACTTTAAAGCTACACCACTACACCACAGACCTCAGTATTATGCACATAATATCTTTTGTAAGAACAATCTATATTTTGTCTCTTTCAGCCCAAATTGGCCCTGACAGGAAGGATCAAAAGCCCAACTACTCAAATGATCTAAATTGTGTCAATGGGGGTGTAAAAACATCCACATTTTTTTTTTTAATGCACACCCACTCACAGATGAATTGAATGCAATCATTGATCCACACACACTACCTTTTATCCTGCAACGGCATAATATCCTTCTTCAACTTTATGACTTTACAGATATTATTCAGTAGCATTATTTATGGAGGCCAACCAAACAACAACCAATTGACCGCGAGATCAAAAAAAGAAGATGTCGATGGATAGGGCATACACTCAGGAAGTCAGCCCACAAACATGACAAGACAAATCCTTGGATGGAACCCCCAGGGGAAGAAAAGAGAGGAAGGCTGAGACCCACCTGGGAGCGAGATCTAGAGGAAAATCTAAGGCATATATCTGTCCTTAGAGAAATTTTCGTGCGCAACTTTTGCCCTCAGTGCAACTTCTGCGCAACTTTTGCCATTTTCGCGAATTTGCGAATTTTAGCCAATTTTCCGCAAAAGTTGGGGAAAAAAAATTTGTTTAAAAGAACCGAAACTCTCTTCCAAGACTAAAAATAACGACGCCAAGGGGGACAATTTGTATCTGAAATACCACTTCCTTTGTACAGGGTGCCCATTGCAGATGGGATCGGGTTGGGTCAAGATGATCGCCTGACTCATCACCTGAAAAAAAAACGTTTTTGTTTTTGAGGCAACGAGTCGGTCGCGATCGGCTTGGATAGATAGCCGCTTTACGCCCTCAATCTGGCCAGCAATCCAACTCGACCCAACCTGATTTCCCAATGGTCCTGTGTGGACTGAATCATCTTCTTCTAGCTAGATCAAGATCAGCAGTAAATCAATCGTAAACATGATCATCTGATTACTTAGCTTGCATTTGGTTCTGTAACACCAGGTAGATAGATCTAGCATAAAAATTATATCGGACACAGCTGGCCGGGGGAGAAGATCGGCCAGAAGAGACAGGTGGAGAGCTCCTCTTGGTGGCCTACACCCAATATCCAAGGTGAAAGAGGTGAATGATGATTGTGGTATTATTTAGCTGGAGCAGTTTCATTCATGGCCACTACATGCACAAATCTCACTAACACTAACACCATTGTTTTTGTACAAAAGGATGTAATAAATATACCCATTTACATCAATAGGACTGAACTTACTTCTCGCACACCAGTGAAAAATGTACTTCTTCATTGCCTGCTGTACTGCCATACTATTTAGTCTTTAAGTTGGATTACTAGAACAGAATGATACTTTTATAAATATAATCCTGCATTCCTGAATAGTCCTTTCTCAAATCAATCTATTCTACCTTCTGTCTATTCAAACATCACACTCAAAACATAAGAAAAAGCAACAGTCAAAGGGACAGAATCCTCAGACCACAAACACGAAGGATAGTCATGGACACAAAACAACAGCTCTGGATAATAATAGTTTAGTGCTCTCCCTCGATACTTTATCCACATGTCATGATCATTACACATGTTAAGTTATAACAGAAATGATCATTACACACATGTAAGTTATAACAGCAATGATTGTTGCACATGTAAGTTATAACATTATAATAGAGTAATGATCATTAAACGTGTAGATTATAACAGATCAATGATCTTTACATATGTAAGTTATAACAGCAATGATCGTTGCACATGTAAGTTATAATAGTAATAGGTCAATGATCGTTTCACATGTGAGTTATAACTGAGCAAAATGAATTTCACGCACATCGGATAAAGATTATGCCTTTATTTATATTGAGACAGAGTAAAGAGATACACATCAACACGGTAAGGCCCTTTCAGTGCTGGGAGAAATCAAGAAAGACATACATACAATATAAAAGAAAGATTAAAAATTATACATCGCCAGGGGTGCCCTACAACTATTGACATGACAATAGTTACAAAAAGATACCTGAATACTTCATCCACTAGGGTTTTTTAATGAAAGAAAGCTGCAGACTACAGACGGTGGGATAGCAACACTTAATACAGTAAACCTCAATATCAAATGAACACTTAAGGATGCCCAAAAGGAGGGGAAAAAAAGAGGATTTTTTTTTCCTTTTTATTGTGTTCTGAAGTCATTGGATTCAAAATTTACCATAAACAATAATGGAAAAGAGGGATCTTAAAAGATGGGAGCACCGGTAGCGAACCATCGACGCATCAAAAACATCAACTGATAAATATAAAAAGCTGTATGAAAAGACCCTCACAAGCGACTGTGGAAATAAATAGTCTAGAGTTACAAAAGTGGCGCAGTGATTATCCAGAAGCAAGCTGAATTCAAAACAAAACAAAATTTCAAAAACACAAAGTAACTAAAAAGCAAATGAACAATGTATCAATATCAGTACCACAAAAAACATGTAAGAAATAGCTTTACTGAAAAAGCGACCCTCAAGGGACAGATGCGTACACCTGCCACTATCTCAGTTCAACAACAAACTCCCAAAAGCTCTTATAAATAATGAGCACAAAGAAAAAAACATAAAGCAAGTCGACCTTTTTTTTTGGGGGGGGGGGGGAATGAAGAGGCGGCACAGAAATAAGAATGTCAGCATCCTTTTTTAAAAGTTCATTGGAAATGAAAGAAACATTTTTTTAAAATCCTTCTGTTCACAAAACCCCTTTGTTCATTGATCAAGGAAATTGATTTTAAAAGACATGCTAATTAACTACATTACAAATCGTATTTACAACACTAATAATTTGACACTTTTATTCATAAGCAACAGCAACAATAACATGCTAAATCTGTCCTCAGAGAAAGTTGCATTTGAAAATAGCAAAAGTTGCAAAAAGTTGCAAGAAAAATCAACGAAAGTTGCAAGAAAAGTTGCAAGACGTGTGTAGCTAAAAATGTCAGGGAATTTTTGGAATACACTGTTGGTATGCTGCATTGCAATCAAAGTAACCAACGTGAGTTTTGTTAGATCAAAATCAAAAGTTAAATGTGAATGTCTACGGAACCAAAAAAAAAAACTGCTTGGAGGTTGCATGGTGTGCAAAAACAGTTTCTAGTATTTATTCGCTTATATAATAATATGACATTTATATTGTTCAAATCATTGTTCTATGCGCTTTACTTTTACATAATAGTATTCAATAGTTTTAGTACAGGTTTTACGGCGCTCGCAACTGCATAAGGTCTTATGAGCGCCAGAAGATTAGAGGTGTCACAAGAGAGGAACAAACATAGAAAAGAAAAAGGGGAGATAAGGACGATAAATGTTTGATAGGAAAAAAGGAGCAATTTAAACCACACCAGAGCACCCGCAAACCACCCACATAATAGTATTCATGAAAAACAATCATACACACATGTGACATAATAATTAAATATGGTGTAAGTGGAACTTTTCCGGCAAAAACTTCTTAGTGAATAGCAGAGTTTACTCTTTTTTATGTCATGTTTTGTTGTTTTTTAAATTTTGTTATAAATTATTCTCCGTTATTTTTTCACCTTACAGAAGTGTAATATTACATTGGTTCAGGACCCCCCCCCCCCCCCCCTTCTTACACTTTTCTTTCACAGGAGTCAAGCACCCCCCCCCCCCCCCCTTAGGCCTTTTCCAGGCGTAAGATTATATTTGAACGACCCCTTTAGGGGTTTTCTGGATGAATCGATCCATGTCTAGATCTACCCTCCTAGCCTAAGATTTTAAAGTCTTTCACAAATTTTTCTACTAGATCTATCTACCTGGTGCTATGGAACAAAGCAAGCTAAGTAATCAGACGATCGTGTTTACGATTGAGTTAACTCTATTTATAGATATCTAGATCTAGAGTCTAGATTTAGCTAGATCTAGACCTAGAAGAAGTAGAAGATGATTCAGTCCGAACAGGACTATTGGGGAGGTCGGGACGGGTCGGTTTTCTCGACAGACTGATTATGGCACAAAGTGGCTATCGTGGCACAAATCGATCGCGCCCTACTCGTTGCCTCAAAATCAAACGCGCAGTTTTCAGGCAACGAGTCGGGCGATCATCCCGACCCGATCTCATCCGCAACGGGCACTGGGCACCCTGTAGATATCTAGTGCAAAGAAGGTATGGTAGATCTAATTTCAGGTACGAATTGCCCCCCTTCGCGCTATTATTTTTAGTTGTGGAAGAAAATTTCAGTTATTTTTACCGAAAATAAATTATTATTTTTCCAACTTTTGCAGAAAATTGCCTAAAATTCGCGAATTCACGAAAATGGCAAAAGTTGCACAAAAGTTGCGCTGGGGCCAAAAGTTGCGTGCACAACTTGCGGGTTGCGCGCGTGAAATTCTCTGAGGACAGCTAAATAAAGGCCTGTCACTAGAATATCCTTGTTGAAAATTTTAACAACACTCATAAATTTAAATTTTTAAAATTAATTCACAAAATAGAAACAACAACTATGGGATGAGTACGAGACTATGGCATGCTAATGAAAATCTGTCACTGGACTAGTACTAGTAGAATATCCATGTAAAAAATAAAGTTATAAAAACAATAACAAGTTTTTGTAAGTATTATGTTCAGTGCCCCAAAGTTTCACTAAATTGTTTTGTTGTATGCCAAAAGTAAGCACAAACACTCACAACTTTTTATCTCGCTTCACTGGTAAAAACAGGTAACCATATTTAACCATTTTTTTGCCAGTACCTAGTCATCCAAGATAAAGAGGCAAATGGCTTTATTGTGTTCTGTTATAAAAAGAATTATAAATATTTGGCACCCCCAAGGGACACAATTTAAGTATTTAGGGGGCAGATTGCAAAAGAAGTCTAAGAGGTCAACCCAGTGTGTGTCAGATACAACATGATATATCCCATTAGAAAGAATGAAACACTTGATACCTCTTCCCCATGTGGGAATCAAACCCTACTTCTTTTGCTTTCAAGGCAAAGAGCTTAGCCAGAGGACTCCATAATTCTTTTTTAAAGGTACTATAAATAGATCTATACACTGCAGTGTGTGGTGAGAATGAAAAGTTTTTAAAAAAGTGTCCACATAAAGCACTAATTGTAAAGTGATGCAAAAATCATTTTGGTTTCACAAAACATAAAAAGTAAATGAAAATGAACTGAGAGAGAGAGAGAGGGAGAAAGAGCGAGAGAGAGAGAGAAAAGTTTGACAAAACATTAAAGAGTGTTTCATACATGTCTAAACTACAAGTAATAAAAAAGTCTCGGATGGAATCCTACAAGTGAGAGGTTTTGAAATTTCACAGGCACACTGATGGAGAGAGTTTAAAAAAGCGTAATCACTCATAAAAACAGCACTGTATCAACTTGTGACATTTTATTATCAAAGTATGGTAGGCTACAAGAAGACAATGAAAAACATTTTTGTTTTGTAAGCATTTAATTTCCACAAGAACCTAATTTTCATTGAGCCCCCGATGATCTCTTCATGAAAGAGGCTTTTTCATATATCAGATCCTTGTCCCATAAGTTCCCTCTCACTCTCAGCTTGCAAACATTCATGAACATTGGACACACGCAAAAAAACAAACTGTCTATACATTGGAATGTTTTCACACGAATACAGATAGTTCAAAAAGATACATCTGGATGAGGGGAAATGAACAGCATCAGAAATAGTTCATTCTTCACACTTTTGTTAAGGCATTTAAACCCTGAACACACAAACTAAACCTTACCATTATATGTATTAAAGTCAATATCTTTACAAGAAAACCCACAACTATCAGTATCACCATTGATAGATAACATTCTATATTCAGATAAAATCTTTTACCATTGACACAGTGTCTCACACAGCTCTATCAAAACACACAAGAGACAAACTTTACCATCCATTACAAAACCAAAGTAAAAATGCATTATCCTTATACTTATACCATGAAATGCAACAACACACTCCACATCACAGAGCTCAAAGAGTTAAGTGTTTGGAGTATTATTTTTTGTAATGTTTCCCATAGTCATGGACAACACAGAAGTTCAGTTGGTAAACCATTTTACAAGACAGTAAACACACCATTGACCATTTCTTGTTCAACGAAAATTTGAAACCATAAAGAATAAAGGTGTAAATTTTACAAGGACTTTCAGTCATGAAAACATTGCAATGAACTCTGCATTCAAGCAAAGGAATTTGATATGGGCTTTCATCATCACAAGAATACAGCCGCAGCATTCATCACATACCAAAAATGAAACAGAAATATATAATGTATGTGAAAAGAAAGGTTTGGATCTGACCCTGAATTAAATAAATAACCAAGAATGTACACATCCACTCTGCAACACACTCTGCGAGACTACGCTATATTCCCAATGAAGTCAGCTGCTGACTGATTCACTCTTGCATGGATCGAAGCAGCCCGGTAAGTGGACAAGGTTCCCATCGCAGACAGGATAATCATCAAGTAGAACATGCCAGACCAGCCCGTGTAGGCTGCTACAAAGCCGATGATGGGACCCTCAATGCAGGTCCCTATGCTACCAAAACCTGGAGACAGGAAACAAAATAGCTGTTGTTAGTGACTAGAACAGACAGGATATTTACATCAACTTGTAGAGACTAGCCCAAGATAAAGAAAGATGGAAAGTGTTTATTCGTGGATGCAGGGTAATGAAGATGATGAATTTTAAACATCTTATACTAATATTTTCTGTCCGTAAATCAAGCAAGACTCTCCTGCCTAATTTGCTTTTTGAACAATGAAGTTGATGATACAAAGTTCCAGATACAAGAGGACCACCGAAACGAATCCAGGTTTCTAAATTTTAATGTTTGTGACAATCCCTTTGTACACCAACTTTTTCTACCTCAGACCATATCCTATCCTTTCGCACAGGAATTTGCTCTTTTCCGATTCCGAGTCAGGAGAGCTTATTTCTTAAACATCATCAACATGGATGGACGACACACAAGCATGATATTTCTATGACAAAAAGAACATGCTTCATAATAATCTGGAATAAAACTTTACTCTCAGTCCCCTAAAACAGAGCATAGCAAAATATTATTACAGTTTCTTCCAAGCTCAGAAAAGCCCCCTGTATCAGAGCTTGGCCTCATTCCCTTGGCAAAGAGCAAAATATATCATACATGATTATCGCTAGAATAAAAGACTAGTCCATAAGTGTTCTTTGATTGCTCCTCAATGGGAAGAGAAATATCAGACACTGCTGAACACCTAACCCGAAAGGTTATATATGGAAAAGAATAGAAAATACAAATAACTCTTTAAATCAAATCGTAAGTAAACTTCTTGAATAATAAAAAGATATATGCATCTATCAATCAGTATGTTTTTAACCTTGACATTTCAAAAACTATGTTTTGTTTCGAACTGGGAGTGAGAACCAATAACATTTTAAACCATTTAAAGTATGCCCATTAAACATCAAAATGTCCAAGACAACTGGAACATCATGTTATATTGTAAAGCACTCAGAGCCTGTGTACTTTAATCAGGGTTGAACGCTTTATAAATGCCATATATTATCATTATTATTATCATTAATATTGTTTTTATCATTACTGTTACTATTAAATATAGTAGCACTCACCATTAACCAACCCAACGGTGGCCACAGCTGCATTCTTGTTGTGCTTCTCCACCAGCTCTGTGGGCACAGTGCCACCTACACAAAACACAAAGACAAGATTTCATGACATGACGTCAGAGCATTTTGCTATCCAAGTGTGGAGCAATCAGATACTTTCAACAAAATGAGAAAAAACTTTTTTATTAGTCTAATACGCATTTTAGTCTCTTGATTTTAACAATTTATATATATTCAAGTTGTCATGAATTATTGATTCTAAGGAAAACGTGAGAGCTGATTATTAAGACTGTGCTCAGGTCAAATGCATCAAGACCAGAGTTTTCAAAGTTTTGTCCATATGTGGACAGTAAACTGCAACGGCCATAAGCCATTCACATTATAGCTTCAATCAACTGTGGCAATGCCTACGGAACTCTTGTATTAACATGCAAGAAGCTATCCACAAACTTTACTGAGTTGATATAACTGTACAGTTTTTCCCCATTTAAGTGCAAATGCTCTGAAACTTATGACAGAATTGGTCTCTGATAGACATACAAACAGACGAAGAAGAATTGATAATATCTAAAACGTACAACTTACGACAGGATTGGGTTCTGACAGACGCAAGTAAAGAAGAACTTGTTAAAAAATAAAAAGCGCAAACATCAAGAAAAACAGGTAACATCTGACAATGATATGCACGTCAGTAAAGCAAGGTATACCCTACAAGCATCAATAACTAACCTCCACATACAAACAGCCCTAAATCAATACTGCTCGTGACTCACATAAAAGAATGTCTGGTCCGGCGTTGAAGGCTCCAGCAATAAACAAGAAGACAGAGTTGAAGAGGACACCCCAAGAGCTGGTCAGGATGAAGAAAACCAGACCCAGAGTGGAGATGAGGACAAACATGGTGATGCCACGCAGAGTCTGACCTTGGTAGAATCTGGAATAAGTTATTAGAGCTTTAATAAATGGGAGGCAGTTTTAATTCTAATGTTAGGAGGGGGGGCATTTATAGCATATCAAAAAGAGAACGATGGAGAAAAGTGGTTACAAGATCATCCTTGGCGCCCCAACGGTCATCTAAAAATAAAGGATAATTCAGTAAGTATGTAAGCATATCTTAACATATTCCGTAACAATGGTGAAAAATAAGACGGGTCTCAATTTGTTTGTTATTTGGGTTTTTCATCATCACAGACGCAATTGAGGTCAAAGCATTCCCCCTAAATTTTCTCAGTGAATATGACAAAATGACCTTCTACAGTTAAAAATTACCCTTAGCTCCTATATTTTCTGTTTTCATGAATTAACAGCATCTTAACTCATTCACTACGTATTATTTTCGGCTTGTGGACAAACCTTTTTCGGGAGGGCGAAAGAGATGATAACTAGTGGGCAGTTAAAAGGTCTTTGGGGCCACAAATTCAAATAAATATCAATGTATTATTTACCAATATTTTCAGTATGGTTTGTAGAATACATTTGTAATGTTTATTTATGTATTTTTCAACTTTGGTTCCTGTAAGAGGCAATTATGCAACACAATTTTGATTGGATGCCGATAGAATTTGAAAATAAAAAAATAATAATCTTTAGTGAAACTCAAAAAATAAGTTTGCACCTAGTCAAATGATACATCAAAATAACCATAAATGAATATAGAACTGGAAAATATTGAAAAGTTTGCAGTTATTTACATACATTCCATAATATTTGTACATTTGGATCATAACATCCGATATTGTTTTTTTTTTTTTAAATGTTATAATCTTAAAAAACGATCACAAACAAAAAAAAACACTCGTATCTTATATGGAATTATTCAGAATTGCATTTGGAATAAACCTATACATGTCTTGAGTGGCACTTTTTGTGTAATTTCATCAAAAAGTAGTGATTTTGGGGAGAGAAAAATATTTTGACAATTTAGATCTAGACCTAAATCTAGCACTCAAAAATATTGATTTCTCAATAACAGTGCATTGGCAATATGAGTCCAATCGTATCAATATTATAAAAAAAAGTCCTACATTTCTTTAGTGGGCAAAATAATGATAGATTTTGTTGGGTAAAATTACTAAAACTGGTGTCCGGGCTATAATTTTGGCATCGCGATAAAACAAAGTCGAATAAAACTACGAAATCACATTTCAAAACTGAATCTAAATTTCCTGATTTTCAGTGAAAATGCTTAACCCGGAAGTCAACATTATATTATGACCTTTATTTTAACATGGATATGTGGATTGGAATAGAATCCAAGCTAAAATTCAAGATCGGTTCTCGAGCCGCCGGGGGCGGGTTAGCGTACTGACAGCACTTTAGCCGTGGCCCCCCCCCCACGGTTCGGCGTAGTGAATGAGTTAAGTCTTAACTATACGGTTTAACAGTACAAAGTTAAAGAACATCATCCAATGACAACATTGTCTCAAAACTGTTTGTCATCAGCCATGACCTCTTGTCCAAAATAAATCTCCTTTTTTTAGATATAGCGTGACTTCCCCCCCCCCCCCCCCCCCCGAATTTTTATTTTTTTTATTTTAATGTTTAAGCAAGTTCAGATGAAAATCTAATACTGCAATCTAGCTCAAGTCATTCAAGACAACAGAGGGGCCTCAGCATACACTGCAACTTAACAACTGGTTACTTCCCATTTTATTCCAATTTCATAGATACCCTCTTTAGTGCTCCCTCTGTTTAATAGCATATATCTTCATTCTTCAGAGATAAACTTTAGTTTCTTGTTTTGTTACCAAAATCATTATTCTGTACTTCCTTTTTCTTCCTCATTTTCTGATAATCATAATTTTAGAGGAGTTTTGTTAAACGATTTCAACATTAAGTGCAAATCTTATTCTTTATTTTTGGCTTTAGCCACAAACCCATTAATTTCTTCATCTGACTTTGGAAAATGTGCAAGAACAGAAAGAAAGAAGCTTATAAGTAAATAAAAGCTTTCACAGAGATGCCAACCACAGAAAACCGAAATGAGTATTGGGAAATATGAAAATGTGTATTTTCAGGGGAAAATGTGTATTCCCCACCACCGACCGACCAACCAGTAATAATAGTAAAATGTTCAGGGTGTCCAGCAATATTTCCTGGAAAAAAATTACTAGCTCACCAGCTTGAAAAAGGGAGCACATACGCGTACAATATACATGTATCCAGTCAACAACATGTCAGTGTTCAATGTCGTACTGGGGTCTTGTTTGACTTAAGTATTTCAGTCTATTATATAATATTTTCCTCTCATTATTACATAAAAAATAAATCCTGCTTTGAGAGTTCGTAAGGGTCTAGAACAAGAATTTCGACTACTGTATCAAGAACCAGTCTGGGTGTCATGATTCATATTATGAACTGACAGACTCAAATTATTGCTCAAACTCAGAGAAAAGCAATAACTTGAATGGTTCAAGTAGACCCAAGCACTGTGAGAGTTGTAACAACTGGGGTAGGGCAAGATGCAGTGACACTGAAAATCAGCCAGTCTTGAACAGAAAGCTACAACATACACTGTAGGTATAATTTACTAGATCTATCACTCATCAAAGTAGGTATAATTACTTTCACCCATCCAATGAAACGCAAACACTTTATTTCAATAACACAGACTTGCAAAGTATGGCGCTTTTTCGGTAGTTCCCACCCCGCAATTGTTAATCGCCGGTTTTTGGGGGGGAGGGGGCTTGCCCCTGACCAAATAAAAATATGGTGGGGGGTTTCAGGGGGGCATACCCCCCTGAATTTTACCACAATTTAATGTTTTGCAGTTGTTAGGTTTGATATCTTAGCTTGCCGCGAATCAAACGTATAGATCTAGATCTAGATGTAGGTCAGGCTCAAATAAGGGGGGTTGGAACTACCGAAAAAGCACCTACAGTATGAGTATGAGGGGTCCCAATTCCGCACACGGCCTGCACCAACGTGCGCTTTGCAAAAAGCTCTAATTAAAATTCTGAAATGTGCTTCCAAGTTTTTGTCCTCTGGTGTAGCCCCCCAAAAAATCAATAATCTCCTCCCCTATTCCGTAGTCCTATACTTCGCAACGCCGTTACTCCCACCAAAGACGGTGTTTACTCACACGATGCCGCATTTATTTAAGATGCGAATGCGCGCAGGTTCAGAGACCGGTCACGATGGCAAGCCAGACAATCTAAAATCGGACGACGCTTGTATTTTCTTTTCTTTTTTTTTTTTTTTTCAAGTGACAGCCAAAGCGATGAGTCCGAGTATTTATTACATTATATTTGCACGGCGACATTGCGTTCATACTGCACAACCTGCATGCCACAAATGTTGCTTTATCAGACAACTGCTGGCAAACTTCTCGGTGGTAGCGAAAGCGAAAGTGGATCTTGATTTTCCAGACCGAGCCTCGGTGTCACATACGCTTCTACCAGCCGCCATAGCTGCCTATTCGCGTGAAAGAGAAACGTACTCTCCGGACGGGGAAAAGCTGAACGAATATATCCCGATTGCGACCGGCAAAAATGAACTTACTGACCACATCGGACTAGGTTTTTAAAAATTCCAGCTCTGCGATACTGATACTATTTTGACAAAAGATGGGACTTGACATAATTAGGTTTACTCGCCCAAGCTGAATCTTGTATTTTTCGCATTCCAGGATGCATATTTTTTCATAAAAAGTCGTATTCGCGTACTTTCGGCAAAAAATCATACTAAAATACGTAAAATCGTACTGGTTGGCATCTCTGCTTTCAGCTTCATTGACTCTTAAGCAAAGAAATGAACTGACAGTTGTATGGGGCCATCAGAACTGAAGTTCTTTAGCATTATAAACTTGACAGCTAATATTTCTACTGGGCATGAAATGAAATCCCCCCCCAAAATCAGGTGACGCAGTGAAATATGCTAGGAAACATTGCGTCCGTTTCTGACAACAAATTGAGGTAAAACACAAACTGACTTGTCCAGTGCAAAGCCAATGAGCGCGCTGCCTGTGACGCCACCAATTTCAAAGACTGTGGAGAAGATGCCGGCCATGCTCTGGGAATAGTTCAACTGAAGAGGGGAATAAAGCAATCTGTTACACATGGGTTAATCAGCTGATTGAAAATTCACTTTTTGTGGAGAGCACAAATTGTCGCATTCATGGTACATTTGTGTTGTTTGTTACAAGTCTTTTACCCAACAAGCAAACACTGTATTTAACATATTTATAAGATCAATGGTTTCTTAGCTGGCACTTCCAAGAAAAATATTAATTTCTTTTGTTTGGTTAAAAATAATATGACCATGAAATTCTGAAAAGCCAATATTGATTTCGAAGTGTTTATAATTTTAATTTCTAGTCTCACTGGACTATTAATTCACAGAGGTGCCAACTTGCTAGCAAGAAAATCAAGAACTTTTCAGATTCCTTAGAAGTACTTCAGCCAGAACTCAAAATTTATGGATCATATTGTCGAGTACATCTTGTTTCAATGCTATATTTACAATGATCTGTCTGAAATCAAGCAGAAACTGGACAAATTCTGAAGTCCAGATTTCAGGACTTATCTAGAAAATCAGCACCTCTGATTTAATATTGAATCCCTGCAACTAAAATTGTGGAATACAAAAACATACACGAAAGAAGCCAACATCTATTCACTTACTGACTGGAGCAGAAACATTGGCAGCCACATGTACATGCAGTAGCGCACAACCTTGATGCAGAATACCGCAAAGGACACCTCTGGTATCATCCTGGAGACACACAATAGAATACAAAAGCACTGAGATCTCTGGGAGTATTTTTTTTTCCTGTACAGGACCAACAGAGAGGAGTCATCTTGGAGGATGGCAAAAAGTGAGCACCATATTTTTTTGCAGAGAAAAACAACACTTCTTATTCTCTCTTTTTCTTACTCACAAAAGGGTTAAACAAAATACAATTTTAGTTTTTGTAAGAGTTTTACAGCACTTGCAACATATAAGGTCATAATATAAGTGCCGAAGATTAGAGATGTTACAAGAGAGTAACAAACATAAAAAAGGAGAAGAGATCATGATTATAGATGTTTGATAGGACTGAAGGAACAAACCACACCAGAGCACCCTCCAACCACCCACAGTAACAGGAAAATGAAGCTGTAAATCTGAGCAATACAAATTTTTATTCAGAGTTTCATGGGATGCATGTACAAATGAACTGTGAATCTACAAAGAAAACCATAATCAAGAAAAGTCAGAAAGTACCGGGTAAGTAAACATTCTCTGGTGTCTTGTTAACAGTAATGTGAGGACTGAAGAGGTGCACTGAAAAATCCAAACTGCAAAAGTACCTCAACAAGAGCCCCTCAGTTGTCAAAAAGAAACTATAATAGTAGTATGGACATATGCCCCCTTTATCAGATCATGCAAAAGTAGTCTCGCAAGAGACAGTCTTTAGAACAGAAAAAAAGAAAGACCAAAAAAACAATGGAAAAAAAATTAGAGACGATTTTTTGTTTCGTTTCAGTGAGCATTTTACAGTACTTGCAACATAAATATGTCACATAAGTGCCGAAGATCATAGATGTTACAAGAGAGTAACAAGCACAAAAAAAGCAGTGAGAAAATGATGATAAATGTTTGATACCAAAGGAGGAGCAAACCACACTAGAGCACCCATCAACCATCCACACCATTAGAGTTCAAACTGAAACCTTCTCACAAAATAACAAAGACCAGTTGAGGACAGAGAGAGACAGACAGACAGACAGACAGAGGAAAGTAGAGACCAGATATTAACAAATGCTTAGATGACAACAGCACAGAAGTAAAGGCATGAACAAGATCAACAGTGGCTGAACATTGCAATAATACTAGTTCACTTAAATCAATTGGCTTCAGAATCTTTGAAGAAATGATACCAGTAGACAAATTGTCCAAATGAGACAAGGCAAATAGAAGGAACAAGAGTTTTGTTTAGTTTTAGTAGAGGTGTTACGGCCCTCGCAACTGCATACGGTCATATGAGCACCAGAAGATTAGAGATGTTACAAGACAGTAACTAACATAAAAAAGAAGAAGGGGAGAAAAGGACAATAGATGTCTGATAGGAAAGAAGAAGCAAACCACATCAAAGCACCCGCCAACCACCCACAAGGAACAAGAGACCATTGGACAATCAGACAAATACATAAAGAGGACAGTCACAGGCAGACAACAAACAGAAAAAAAGGACAACAGACAAAAGACTGATAGACAGACAAATAGGTGGCCACACAGCTCCATAACAGACAGACAGACAGACAGACAGACAGACAGACAGACAGACAGACAGACAGACAGACAGACACAGACAAACACACACACACCTACACACATACAGACAAAAATATTTTTATATATGGACAGTCAGACGGATAAAAAGAGAGACAAAACTAAGTGGTAACAAACACACAACAGGAAAAAAAAACCCAGATGACCAAATGGACAGCGCGTTAATTATGCTGATAAGAGGAGGTAATAATGATATAAACAGGACACTAGCAATACTTCTACCACTACACTCCAAAAAGTGAAGATAAGAAAGACCACAGAAGCCAGATAATGACAAAGTATCATTGTTTATAAATATAATGTCACTGTTTACCACATAAAACAAAAGTTCTAGATAGATAAGATGAGGGTCAAAGGCGCGTGGGCCATTGAGTCACGTCCACACTGTGCACCTGTACAAAAATTTGTACTGCCATACTATAGCACATCAGTGTCTGCAGAGTTAATTTTAGGCTCTGGACCTTGCAAGAGACAGAAGTACAATCAAAACGTATGTGGGGAAAGATGTTTTATCATGAAATAATTTCATCTCACTGAAAGGATCTGTCTCACAAACCTCGCACCACTGCAACTGTCAGGGCTGAACCAGCCCACCTTCTAAAAAGATTTACTCTCTATTCTTCCTCTTTGTCTAGTTTATTCCCGCATTAATTTTGTTAATGAGCTTCTCTTTGTTTTAGTAAGAGTTTTACAGCACTTGCAACACAATTAGGTCTTATATATTAAACTCTGAGTTATAGTTTTCAGTAAAATACTGCCGTAAACTGACAAAACACCTTTTTTTTAATTCACAGCAGTTTTGAGAAAAGGAGGCTTTTTGTCAGCATAAAAGAGGCATTCTTCCTAAATTTGAATTCTAATTTATTTCCAAACTGATCACAGTTTCACTTTGATTTTTTCCCACGAGTAAGGTAACTGACCAGGCTTTCAATTCAGCAGATAAAAAAATTTGGCACCAAAAAATTTTTAAAAGGCGTTTAGTCAGCTTACGGCAGAATAGTGGCTACATTTCACACTGTACAGTTTAGGATTACAAAAACACTAAAACGCAATAGAAGGAAGGAGGGGATCACACAAAAACATTGATCAATGACCAGTATGTTCTATAGTAGTGAAACCAGCTTAAGACAAAGAATGAAGAATGTTATCTGACAAAATAGCAACAGCAGATTCCCATGGGATATTTTCGAGCCCTGACATCTGCAGATAGGCATAATATTTTCAAACAAGATTTAACCAATCCTTCAGTGTAATTTTCTACTTTCCAAACAGAGGAACTGATGTTGTGTAAACAACAAAATATTTAGTTTTCAAAATACCATATTTCGCAAATCACACTCTTGCACCCACACAGTCTTTCTACACTATCTTACTCTTTCGAAATACTCTCCTGAAAATGTCTTCCACTCATAAAACTTTCATCCATGATCAGCAACAGCAATCACTGAAAAGATTCCATCCCTTCAACTGCACCACAAAGAATTGTCACAGACACTTGCACTTTTGTATAAAGAGCAAATATAATCTTTAAAATATTTAATTTACAGAAGAGAGAGAGAAAGAGAGAGAGAGGGGGAGAGAGAGAGGGGGAGAGAGAGGGAGAGAGAGAGAGAGACCTTTACTTTGAGGTGACCATTCTGATTTGCGAGTCGCAAAAGCTGACACTTTTTTAGGTGGACAATGTATAGTGTACCCTCTGTCCTTGAAACTAGTTCTATGCGCCTCCCTTTCCCCCCCCCCCCCCCCCCCCCTCCAACTTCTCGCTGTTAGGACTCCTATCTTTTCCCCTGCACCTATACGTAAGAGACTTATATTAATAGATAAAAAAGAAACCAGGGCGAGGGTGGTGGATCATCTACACTATCACTTTTTTATATCATACTTACAATCCAATAAAACATTATTATGATACGTGTCCCTTCCTGAGCAGAGGCGATTTATTGGTTCTCAGTTATGCCCCTTAGAACAGAGCAACAAAGGGGAACAACCCATCTGTTATGATTCTGCGCGTAATAATCGTGTGTACAGCATCTCCTCTCCAATGGGGCGAAAAACAAATGGAGCTCAAGAACACTCGAAAGCCTTTTTGCGTTTTAATTCGTGATAATTCCGCACTCACGGGTGCTCAATCTCACACATATAGAATTCTTCTTTGACGTTAAAGAGTCCCAAACAAGTGCGAATTGCCTTTGCAGGGGAAATAAATAAAGCCAATAATTGTGCATTACGACCGCTTGAGGGAAGAAAGAGTTGTGTTTACGTGTCTTCTGAGATGGTTGGAGAGAGGGAAGGAGAGAGAGAAAGCGAAGGGAACTCGAAGATTCAGGAAACAGATCAAACGCGAAACTGGTTGATACTGTGCTGATATGAGTTTGTATGAAATTCTGGTGCTTCGTGGATCAAGTGCTGTAAGAAGTGGTGCCTTTTAAAGATTTTTTAAAAAGTGTTGACCGTTAGCAGGGATGCTTATTACGTTATGTGATGATGTGATGAACGTTGGTAGTGTTTTGACCTTTCCTTGTTTGTGCGAACGGGAAACCCGGATATTCTGAAGCTGGGAAGACGATTTTTATTATAGTTCTCTACACGCCTTCCTTCTCGGGTTGATGAAATT